GCCTGGCCCAGGCGCGAGCTGGCAGCCTGGCCTAGGCGCGAACTGGCGGCCTGGCACAGGCTCCAACCTGGCGACCTGCGAGACATGCTCGCAGAAAAATTCGGCATGCATATCCTAACACTCCCACGATCCTTGGAAGTTGGCCCACATGCCGAACGATCCGGAGGGTGGTCAACGTGCATCTCGGACCAGTTAGACACGACCTCCCGGAGATCTTGAGGGCAGTACGTGAGCAAGGCCTATATAAAGGCATCAACCCCAATGACAGGAGAGGCAAGTAGGCAAGCAAGCAAATAAGCAAATTCTAGCTCTCAGACTTTGTGATTTTTAGCTCGCAGTCTACTATGAGAGTACTAACTTAAGCATCGAAGTGTCCTCGCCGGGTTAGCCACCTCGGGTCCTCTGACATTTGGTTCCTCGCAGGTCTCTAAAGAGCAATGAAGTTCATCAGTCCAGCTCGGCACCTGGTCAGCGCGGCACCTCCCAGGCAGCTCGGCACCTGGTCAGTGCGGCACCTCCCAGGTAGCTCGGCACCTGGTCAGCGCGGCACCTCCCAGCAGCTCGGCACCTCACAGGCAGCTCACCACCTGGTCAACTTGGCACCTCATAGGCATCTCGGCACTATAGTCAGCTCGCCGCCTAACCTGCCCAGCTCGACTCAGATCAGCAGCCCAAGTTCTCCACTTCGGCCTGAGTCATCGACCACTTGGAAGCAGACCAAATGACGAGGTACTTGGCACAAAAATTCACACCACCAAAAATTGATTCATCATATACATTATACACAAAATGTGTAATTTTAAATTATGCGGGCTAGGCTTGAAGTATTAAGCCCAAGCCCGGCCCTAAAATTTGTGGGCCTGATGTGGGCCCGAACCTGAACACAAAACCCAGGCACAAGCCCGAATTTTCGGGCCGGGCTGGGCTGAAATGATCACCCCTAGTGTATAGTAGAGAGAAGGCAGGTCGAAAGCTGTCTGGGTTTCAACGCCACTGTTTTGCCATTGAAGTTCCTATCCGTTCTGCCATTGAAGCAAGTTTGTTCTCTGGTACCACCTGCTGTCAATCTCTAGTAAGATTTTCTCTCTCTCTCTCTCTCTCTCCATCCATGCACCAATGCATCTGGCATGTTAAATGCCCTAGAATAGAATTTCAAGCAAGATCAAAAGTATACAGTGAGAATTTTTCGGGAGCGTTAGGAGAAGAACCTGTTACTTTGTTTTTCTGTGTCTATGCCATTTCAGCTTCAATGTCTTTTAATATTTCCTATGATACCCATTGTTCCTAGAAATACCTGTGAAAAGAGAAAGTATATTAAATTTTTCACTTCTGTTTATTTTCTATGATACCCATTGTTCTTAAAAGAAAATTTTCACTTCTGTAACAACAATTAATCCTGCCAAACAAGTGGAGATACTCAGATAAAAATTGTAAACATAAACATCAAGAAAACGGCAAATGCAAGATCTCAAACAAAAGCTGTTTATTTGGGTTAGAAGATAAGCAAGGACCATAGTGTACAAAAGATTGACCCAAAGAACATAACTCTAGATTGACTGCAGAAGTTGCAAATTTCTTGAATAAGTATTTCATAAGTTGATTAAAAAGATAATCCAAAATAGAGGCATTGAGGAGCTTGACCACAAGGTATGTGGATGAATATATGTTAGACATGATAGTGTCTTTGGTTATATGGATAAACTTTAGTCAAATTTATTATATGCATTTAGATGATTTGTATACTAGTCTCAGTTTGGGAAGATTGCAAATACAAATATGTTAAGTACAAATACAAGGTTTAGAAATGCCATATACAAGGTTCTGCACTGTACATATTTGTATTTGCACCTTCCCAAACTGAGCCTTAACAACATAGTAAGAAGCAAAGTAAACTAACCTCCAATAGCTAGTGAAATACTAAATGATTGATACTCAGCTTTGTTATAATTACCACTGAAATACTTCATATGACTTTTCTATTTTAACTACTAACATATGACAATCTGTCTTTTTGACACAAAGTCACTAGACCTATTCATGGGTCGGGCCGGGCCAGGCTCGGGTCGGGCTTTTACTCTTTATTAACAGAAAAATGTTAGGCCTGAGCCCGAGCCCGACTTGACCAACGGGCCTACAACTTGGGCCCGAGCCCGGCCCTGATAAAAAGCCCGATGCCCGAGCCCGAAGCCCGACCTAATAAAAGAAATTCGAATTTTCCCTATTCAAATGGACATTATCTATTTTAATTCAGATGTTTTTTTTCCCCTATTTAAATGAACAATGGGCCTACAAGTGAAACAACAACCTTCTTAAATCAAAAAATTTATTCAAATGGACATCACATAGGGTTTTTACTTAGGTTTAACTATAGGTCGGGCCGGATCGGGCTCGGGCCGGGCTATTTTGGCAAAGCCCGAGCCCGACTCGAATTTTATGTGGGCCGGGCTTTTTGGCCCGAAGTTAAGCCCGTGGGCCAAAAAGCCTGTTCAAGCCCGTCCGGGGGCCGGGCCGGCCCATGAACAGGTCTAAGAGTCACAGACAAAACCTCCAGTGTCAAATTGGTAAATATCCAACAACCTCCAACTCCAAAAACAGCTAATTTCTTGTTGACACATTCTTGTTTTTATATCTATCTAAAATGGATATTTGTAGAAAAAGAAAGCTCTAATGAAGGGAAAGATGATATATGACCTGTGCAGGGTTTAAATTTCGAGTGGTTTTGCAGATTTAATTCAGACATTCTTAACTTAAGTTTCAGTAATCAGTAGTATATATTGTAGGGCTAGCAAACTAACAATCTGATGGATTGAACTTTTTCATTTAGATGGGTTCTAACAGTGCTTATTGTGCTATAGAGTTATACCATTAAGGTTAGTGGAGTAGAGTTTGCAGGACACTACTTAACCCAACTTTGTTATTTCCTTCTGTATAAGGACTCTTTTGGGTTTTCCCCCTCTCTTTTGTATTCTCACCACCTCTGTTCTTTATGGTTCAGGGGTTGTACTTACAATTTTCTCTTTAATACAAGTTATTAAAAATTTATATGATAATTCTAATTTGGTTAGTAAGGAATTGAGGATTTATAGGAATGTAAAAAGCGGGATTTCTTATGCATGAGAAGGTGTAAATAGAAACCCCTTTGTATGAATGCCCATTTGATAGTTGGTTGAGCCTTGAAAAGTAGCTCAGCTGCCTCAAAACTCTCATCAATGATCATATTAGATCGGATCAGTTGCTGAGGCATCATAGGCCTGCTGTCACACGTGGATGATGATGAGTGATATATTCAAAGTTGGGCCCCATCCAGTCTCATTATCTCAGGTCTCAACATTGAGCCCACTAAACTAAACTAATATCCACAGTACAATAAAAGAAGAAAAAGTAACTGAGGGTTATAGACACTTTGTAACAATCTTTTTGCTTTGAGATATTAGTTTATTTTAGTAGTTCAATAAAGAATTAAATAAATCATGTGGTGTGTGGTCGAATGAAAAAACACAAGAAATGTGGGAGCAATGGATCCCTTGCTTTAGCTTACTTTTGGGTATTTTAAGGGCACACCATATACATCATTTTAGTTCCTTTAGTTGGTGCTAGATTGTGCTTAGTGAAATGATAGAGGGAGTGGACAGATCTGAACTAGTTTGGGAGCATCATGCCTGGGACTTTACACAGGGCTGAATGTGCTCTTTACCTTCTTAGTAGGCTACTCAAGTAAGCCATGGTTGAAATGCTGAATTCATCTATCAGGCACCCAATGCAAGATTTTGTGTTTTCTAGGAATGGTTCTACCATTGTTTATTCACCTTTTACAGGCTTACAGCATGTTCACCCCTATATGCCATGCATATATTGAAGACATTGCCCATTCAGCTGGTAATGGCAGTAATGAAGCTAGCAAAGAGATGTCAACTTAGAAGTCCATCCCCCAAATTGTCTATTGCATTTATTGAAGCTAGCAAATCACGATGTCCGCTAAAGAGCTGCCGCACTACTTTTTCATTACTTGCCATGATCATGGATGAAGGAGGAGGTTGCAACAGGCTGGAAGCAGTCATAAGATATGCCAAATCCATTTAACCTGAATCTTGGACCCTTGTTTTAAGCCCTTAGTTAGCCTTGCTGCAAAAATGATGTTTTGCATTGTCATCCAACTGCAACATCTGATCCTTCATATTATGTCATTTAATATAAAATATTATAGATATGTAATGTTTTATATATGAGTGACATTGGCCCTGAATCAAGCCTGGTCCAGCCCGAGCCCATGTAGACCTGAGCTAGGGCTTATGTTTTAGGCCTGGAACCCCAGGCTGGGTCAGGCTCGAGCCTAAGCTATAGCCCTTATCATAAGTGCAAAGCCCAGCCCATGATCACCCCTACTTTACACCCTCTCCACGACGAGACTGTGTCTGCTCCTCACACTGACCTCACATGCACATCCCACCGTGTATTGGGAACATCTCTTGTACTTGTGTTATTATTTACGGGAGATATTCTCAATGCACAGTGGGATGTGCCTGTGAGGTCGTTGTGAGGCACCTTGTGTGAGGAGTAGATCCTAATGCCTCCTCGACCCAATGACCCTGACCCTTCACAACTCGGGTACCTCGACCCAACCCACCGCTAAAATGTCTGATTTTAAAGCAGGTGGATGTATGGGTTAAAAGGGTCAGGACCAAGATTGCTAAACCAACTTTGAAGAAATTGACGATGTTGGAAATACATGGTGTTGCGGCCTAGGATGGGCCGAGGGCAACAAGGTCAATCCATTTCTGAGCCAAGGGCTAATCGATGAGTCCAAAGTACATTGCGGGCGAGGGCTGGTAGGTCAGACCTATGAAGGAAGAGAGAACTTCAAAGGCCCCAGGTGCTAACCCAAGGCGAAGACTCCGACGATCAAGTTAGTATGGGTGAGGCCAAAGGTGGGTGAGGCCTAAAGCTAGTGTCCTCAGACGAGGCCACAAATGAAGCAAGGTAGTTCTTAGCTGTGTCGAGTCTAGGTGCTCACCTTGGGGGGTCACCCCCTATTTATGCTTGAGACCGCTGGAGGTAAGTGGATGTGGACGACCTTTGGAGCGCGGCCATCCGAGGTCGCCACGTGCGGCTGCACTATTGGCCCCGTGCCGCATGCTGGCTTCTGCTCTGTGTGCACCCTTATTGGATCCACTCTGTGTGCTGCCTTTTGCCACGTGTGTACATGCCATTGGCCTGGGCCCTAAGCACTTACATCACATGGTAAATAAAATTTTTGATAAATCAAAATCTCCCCATTAATATTGATAAATAACAACATATTGGTTATCATGTTTATTATACCATTTTCCAGTACCATAATTGAACTCTATAACTTTATACTAAATATACATTATGAAGTACATTTGGTTTATTACAAAACCTAAACTAGTATTAAACTGTAAAGCGAGTTTTGCTAGGGTGGGTTAGAAGAGCACAGTCGAGGTTTCGTTTCCTTTTGTTTGTCGTCCTCCGTAGAGGAGGGGAGTCACCCCCCTGTTTTCTATTTGTTTCTAGAGAGGCTTACTCTCAGGATTTCTCGAGGTTATGTTTTCCTTTATGTTCTCTATTCGTTTCTTTGTTCGTTTCTCCATTTTTCTATGCTTCCTTTTTTTTCTACGGGCATTTTGATATGGAGTTCCTTCTCTAGAATCCTCTATGCGATAATCACTGGTGGAAGTTGCCACTTGTATTTCCAGCATTTTGGAAAGCAGTTACAGTTCTCTGGCGTCCTGGGTGGAATTTACAGTTCCCCGGTGTCCTGGATGACAGTTACAGCTCTCCAACATTTCAAATGGCAGTTACAGTTTTCCGGCGATGTGGTTGGACGTTACAGTTCTCCGACGTTTTTGGGTGACAGCCCGCAGTTCACAGTTCTCCGGTGCGCTGGATGGCAATTACAGATCATGTCGTTTTTTGCGGATGGGTTTGGAGTAGTTGGAAGTTACAAATCATGGATTTTGGCATTGTAACCTCTATCAATTATCGTTTTTTTTAGAAACCTCTCATGTCAGATTGCTCGCCAGTTATGGTGGTTTGGAGATGTACTTATCCACTTCTGTTGGTGATTTTTTAAGTCACATTACTTTGGTTGCAGAAGTTCTTTCGGTTCTCCTTCATCCATCTTGATGTGGCGCAATCCGGCTGCTCCCTGCAGGAGGTGATCTGGCTACCAGCAACGACGGGCTTGATGAATCTGCAAGAGGTGAACCAGAGAACCTAGGGTAGTTTACCCAGCGAGGTCGCTCCGATGCCTAAGTTAGCACTTGATTGCGAGCTGAAAATGATCTTAGATTGTAAGAGAGCTAGAGAGCAGAGATTACGCGTCTACCTCTCACCCCCGGGGGGGTGGAGCCTTTATATACTTGGAGTCCTTGCGGGTTCCGTGGAGTAGTTCCGGGATTCTCGCTGCGGATGGATCCGTTTCCGTGTTAATTGGGGATAACGCTACCAACCAGTAAGGTTGACAATTTCCGCCTGAATCGGGGAGTGGGGAGATAATATTAGCCGTTACAAGGTATGATCTTGTAAGACGCGGAGTATGGTGACGAGATCCTCGGGGTTGCCATGTAGTGGTCGGCCAGCATTGCCTAAGCTCGTGCTCTTTAGATCTGACCTGATATGAATGCCGAAGTGCCTTGGGACCGAGGTGGTCCTGATGTGACCTTGCACCGAGGTAGACTCATCCCGAGGTGGTCTGGCTGTCCGAGCTCGACCCGTCGTAGACTTGGCACGTCGGGCTGAGTTGTTATCCTGCTAGTTAGGTCGCCAGGTTGGCGCCTGTGCCAAGCCGCCAGTTCGCGCCTGGGCCAGGCCGCCAGTTCGCACCGGGGCCAGGCCGCCAGTTCGCGCCGGGGCCAGGCCGCCAGGTTGGACACCGTCAACTTGGCAAGTTGTTGCTTGAGTGGTTCCGGATGTCACCTAGTTGTTCTAAGGTGCGACGTGTCACAATGTCATTGGAAGGCCAAATCCGCCCTCATCATTTGCCCCCCACTCCCGAGCTGAAAGTAACTCGGCGAAGGGAGTAGATTTCTCCTTTTGGCCCGGAATGAATAATACGATGAGCTCGTAAGCGTCGATTCAATTCCTTAGGCTCTGGGAGCGACTCGCAGTCTGCTCCTTGATTTTGCCCACGCCGAAGAGGCGACTGGGTCTTATGTGGTGAGGAGGTATTTGCTAGTTCGGTATTTTGGCCCTTAGGCTCTGGGAGCAACTCGTAGTCCACTATCATTGATTTTGCCCATGTCGAAGAGGCGACTAGGTCTTATGTGGAGCCAAAGTCTTTTATCAGCTCACCAGTTCACGCCTGGGCCAGATCGCCAGGTCGGCGCCTGGGCTAGGCCACTAGGTCACGCCTGTGCCAGGCCACCAAGCCGTGCCTTAGAGCTACGGCTACGCTGCATCAACCTCGTTAGTGACGTCGGTTACTCACTCCTACAAGAAGCTACTAGGAGCTCAACCTACGGGGGCAACACTACAGACTTTAGGTCACCAGCTCGCATGGGAGCCTTGGAAGGCTCGATCGGCAAGGGCGTCCATGCAATCTGTTAGTCGCCTACTCCCGCGGAAGCCACGAAGAGCTCATCTTTGTAGAGGGTACCTCGCGAAGATGACTGATGAGGCTTTATCCGAGTTGAAATAAAGTTGGTTGAGTTGCTTAGTCTATTGGCCATTAGCTTCCTGCATAGTCTTTGAGTTCATAAAAAATGGAAACTAGAAAGTGAGAGCTTTTAGTTTCTAAAAGGTGAGAACTTAGCTTTCTGGAAGAAGAAGACTTAGCCTTTCAGAGGATGATAACTTAGCTTTTTGTAGCGTTTCCCACAAACGGCGCCAAATGATGCGGCGCAATCCGACTGCTCCCTGTAGGAGGTGATCTGGCTACCAGCAATGACGGGCTTGATGAATCTGCAAGAGGTGAACCAGAGAACCCGGGGTAGTTTACCCGGCAAGGTCACTCCGATGCCTAAGTTAGCACTTGGTTGCGAGCTAAAAATGATCTTAGATTGTAAAAGAGCTAGAGAGCAGAGATTACCCGTCTACCTCTCACCCCCGAGGGGTGGAGCCTTTATATACTGGAGTCCTTGCGGGTTCCGTGGAGTAGTTCCGGGATTCTCGTTGCGATTGGATCCGTTTCCGTGTTAATTGGGGATAACGCTACCAACCGGTAAGGTTGACCATTTCCGCCTGAATCGGGGAGTGGGGAGATAATATTAGCCGTTACAAGGTATGATCCCGTAAGACGCGGAGTATGGTGACGAGATCCTCGGGGATGGTCGGTCAACATTGCCTGAGCTCGTGCTCTTTAGATCCGACCTGATATGAACGCCGAAGTGCCTTGGGACTAAGGTGGTCTTGATGTGACCTTGCACCGAGGTAGACTCGTCCCAAGGTGGATTCCTCCCGAGGTGGTCTGGCTGTACGAGCTCGACCCGTCGCGGACTTGGCACGTTGGGCTGAGTTGTTATCCTGCTAGTTAGGTCGCCAGGTTGGTGCCTGTGCCAGGCCGCCAAGTCGCGCCTGGGCCAAGCCGCCAGGTTGGACACCATCAATTTGGCAAGTTGTTACCTGAGTGGTTCCGGGTGTCACCTACTTGTTATGAGGTGCCATGTGTCACAATGTCATTGAAAGGCCAAATCCGCCCTCATCACATCTCTTTATCTTGTTCTTCTTGAGATATTGTCTCTCATATTTAATTGGCATTGTTAGCATCTCTTTTTATCGATCTCTTGAATGAATGAAATATGATTTAAGCCTTCAAAAAAAAACTAAACTATAATTTGTCATAAAAAACCTTTTTTTAGCTATATATGTGAGGGTTTCTCCATGCCTTGTGTGTGTATGTGTGTGGATGGTGAAATCTCCCAAAATGTAACTATCATTTTGTTTGCAATGCAAATATGGATCATTGAATTAGATATAAATTGATTTAATTTTGCATTAGTTAATTATGTTTTGAAGAAGTATAAGAAGATCAGACCTAACTTGGTTGCAACACTAGGTGACATGAGCTTTAACCCAAGCTTTGTACACCAAAAACAAAAACAAAAGAAGGGATCCAACCTAACCCTGCTTGAATGGAATGACCCCTATACTAAGTAAGGGGAACTGAGGCGACTACACCCATTTGTTTTGCTCGTATTGATTGCTATGAATAATATGGTCTTCAACAAAGACACAATAAATATTGCTTGGATTCTAAATCAAATTCAACTAAATTTGATGAATTATCAAGCCTTAGATGACCTAGAGCATACCTAAACGCCCAGCTCCCAATCCCCTTTAACAACTCCCCATCAACACAATGATGCTGTGTGTAGGGATATATGCTCCCTTAGTATTATTTGTGATGGAGGTACCCTTATGAATAATAACGGATCTTGTGGCTTAATTCTTTTGGACAGTGATTTTAACTTTTTATATGCTCTGGGTGACAAAGTTGACAATGTTTCCAGCCCCATGGAAGCTGAGTGTATCACAGTTATCTAAAGCCTTTTTTTTTTGCTAAGCAACATAGTTGGTCCAGCCTCACCATCTATTCAGATGCAAAAGCTCATGTGGATGCTAGAGCAGGATCATCGAATTTTTTTGACTGGAAACTCCTAATCGCCCAAGTGGTGAAAACTTGTAGTTTCTTTTGATGTTGGGATGATATTCCCCATTGGTCGGACTGACCTGTTCATGGGCCGGGCCGGGCTTTTATTCTTCAATAACGGAAAAATGTTAGGCCCGAAACCGAGCCCAACCCGACCAACGGGCCTACAAATTGGCCCGAGCCTGGCCCTGATAAAAAGCCCAAAGCCCAAGTCCGAGCCCGAAGCCCGACCTAATAAAAGAAAGAAAATCTACCAAGAAAGAAAAAACTGCATTCAAGACAAACATTCAAGCAAGATGATCAAGGCGACCAATAGAACAAAAGATTAGTTTGTTTACTCTTTTCTACAGTTTCCTCAATTTTTAACACATAGAAGCAAAACAATAGACATGAAAAATTGAAAATTAACCACAGAAAGGCCCTAGCATTCGGCAGTAAACACTAAACATTGTAATAGAATAAAATGGTAAAGAGGATTCACCGCCGCCGCCGGTGATTGTATTCGCCGGAGAGTTCGCGGTGAATCGGTGACTGTAGTCTGTGAGCTGTGAGCCTAACCTGCGATTTTGACAATGATTAGTTCGCGTCTGACAAAGAAAAATAGAGAGAGAGCTCGCCGCCGCCGCCGGTGATTATATTCGGCGGAGAGTTCGCGGTGAGTCGGTGACTGTGGTCTGTGAGCTGCGAGCCTAACTGCGATTTTGACAATGATCAGTTCGCGTCTGATAAAAAAAGAGAGGTCGCCGCCGCTGCCGCCGGAGTTATTGCGCCGGTGAATGTTCGCCGCCTCGCCGGCTCAGGCAGGATGAAAACCGTAGAGTGTGTAGGATGTGGAGATGGGAGAAGAAGGGTTCGGCTGAAAATAAGAAGGGAAGAGTTGAAAAAAAGAGGGGTATTCGAATTTATTGCGGGTCGGGTTCGGGTCGAATTATTTTGACAAATTCCGAACTTAATTTAAATTTATTACGGGTCGGGTTTTTTAACCCGAAGTTAAACCCGTGGATCTATATACCTGTCCAAACCCGTTCAAGGGCCGGGCTGGCCGATGAACAGGTCATGAACTCTTGTACTTCCGTTGGTTTTGTTTTAATATTTTGTTTACTCGTAAAAAAATGTCCTAGATTGATAAAGTTGAGCTTGACCTTGGGTTGGGTCATGACGAAGCACTAGCCCAAGATTAAATATTATGGTTGGGTTAGGATTGACCCTCAACCTAACCTAATCCGCCAATTTCTAGAATCAATCACAACCTTCAAATTTTGATGGATGGGAGTTGATTGGTTATTTTTCGGTGTCACAACTTTTTGATATCATTGCCGAATTCCAAAAGCAAAATTCAAACCCAAACCCAAAGTAAATCAAATTTACAATTAACCCATGGTATAAAAAATGGAGTCTAAAAAATCCCAGTTAGTACCCTCTACTACTTTGGGTATAGTGTTAAGTGAAATTTGAAAAAGACATAAATACCCTTTGAACGTTGTCTAGTTTTCTTTATAAATTATTCAATCGTTGAAAAAAAATTAGCAGTCCAAATCCTTGCTTTTTCTATTCAAGAAAATTGGGGTCATGTCTAAGTGGGCATTCTGATTACCCAAACTTTATTGAATAGAAGAGGCAATGATTTATGATTGTTTTTTTTTCAATGTTTGGATAGTTTATAAAGAAAAATAAATGACACTTAAAGGGCATTTGTGTCTTTTTCAAATGCCACTTAACAATTGGTTAACAACTAATTAACGGTAGGTACTGGATTGACACGTTTTGAAAGTTTGGGTACTAATTTGTCATATTTTAAAATTCAGGAACCAAAATAACACTAGACCCAAAGTAATTGAAAATTTTCCCTATGGTTTCTTTAGTCAGCTCCCCTTCAGAAATCGAAATATCGATTGGGGATGTACGAAAATCGAAACCCATGCAAGCCTTAGCCAACAAATTCGAAATTTGTTTTGGCTCCTCCCCCCCCCCACATCAATGTAACTTTAGTGTTATACCTGTTATTAGACCTGTTCATGGGCCGGCCCGGCCCTCGGACGGGCTTGAACAAGTATATGGACCTGCGGGCTTAACCTCGGGCCAAAAAGCCCGGCCCGCAATAAATTCGAGTCGGGCTCGGGATTTGCCAAAATAGCCCAGCCCGACCTATACTTAAACCTAAATAAAACCCCTAGTCGAGACATCTATGTCTCTTCCCATTCTTTTTTTTCAGCCGACCCTTCATCTCCAATCTCCGGTTCTCCACATCCTCCACACTACACAGTTCTCATCCTCACACTCTCAGGCAGCCACAACCGGCGAGGCGGCGAGCGTTCACCGGCGCAACAACTCCGACAGCGGTGGTGATCCCTCTCTCTCTCTCTCTCTCTCTCCCTCTTTCTTTCTCATACGCGAACTAATCAAGTGGTTATTGTCAAAATCGCAGGTCAAGCTCGCAGCTCACAGACCACAGTCACCGATTCATTGCGAACTCTCCGGCGAATACAATCACCGGCGGCGGTGATGAGTCCTCTTTACCATTTTATTCTATAACAATCTTTAGTGTTTACTGTTTTTATAACTATTGGTCCTGCTGAAAAGAACAAGGCAAAACCGCATAAGTGGCTTGTTTCTTCTCTTTGTCTAGGAACAATTAATATACAGAAATAATCAAATAATATTAAACAACAAAACAAGAGAAATGTTGTAACTTGTAAGCCATAAAAGAGGGATGGGGTGAGAACTGAGAACTTGTTAGTGTTTGAAGCTGAAACGTCAGGAGACTCAGAAACGTCGGGCTTCCAGCTTTTTGTCAGGGTCGGGCTCGGGCCCAAGTTCTAGGCCCGTTGGTCGGGCCGGGCTCAGGCTCGGGCCTACCATTTTTCCATTAATGAAGACTAAAAGCCCGGTCCGAGCCCGGCCCATGAACAGGTCTACCTGTTATAGCCCTCTACAAAACATTAATCATCTTCTTCCCCATTTCAAACCTACAACGTCTTCCCATTTCGAAGTTACAACGTCTTCTCCATTTCCCAAAGCCGTTAATCTCCGAATCATTGGAGCTAATTTCTCATAGTCGTTTCATTGTTGGAGTTTCATCTTTCATAATTGGAGCTACAACATCTTCCCCATTTCGAAGCTAAAGTGTCTTCCCCATTTTTCAAAGCTGTTAATATATGTCTTCCCCATCTCGAAATTTCTCAGGGCCGTTTTATCACCAATGCTTCATCTCTACTTGTGCTCGCTGTTTTATCACCGGAGCTTAATCTCTTTCTCTGTTTACCATTTCATCATCGGAGCTCAATCCATACCTGTGTTTGGTCGATTGGAAACCTCCGTCTTCCCCACTTTGATTTGTCAAAGTTTCTTGCGTTTGTTGTCTGGTAGAGGTCGAGTTTCGTCACCGGTTGAAGGAAGGTCGATGTCCCATTTCGACTCGTCTGCTTCTTCTTCCGTCTCCTTCTTCCTCCGTCTTTGAATATTGAAAGGATTCTCGGAGGTCCCTTTGTTCATCAGTGGTTTTGCAAAAGCACCGTTTCCCACCGTTGACTTTCCCCATTGGCCCGGGGCATCACTGCCTCTTATAGGGACATCCAGGATACCTCTCCCCACCCCGTGGAGGTGATTATGCCACCCGTCTACTCCCACGTCCTCCTCTAGGACTACTTCTCGAAAAAATGGCAGAAACACCCGGAGGTCGTTCCATCGGCCTTCCTCGTGAGCTTGGGCTTCTCTGCCTCTTACCAGAAGGTATCTTTAATGAATTTATAAATATTTCTTAGTCAACAAAAAATATCTTTTAAGCAATTTATGTTTTTATATATTTATATTTAAAAGTCCAACATAACTACAATAAGCTACAGTAACAACATCGATATCTTAATCAACATTAAACACTTCATTTTCATTAGCAATGAACTAAGCAACATTCAAATATTCATTTACAGAGATCCTTACGACAATCAACTAATGAAAAAAAAATGTAACAACGTAAATTGCATGTGGTCGAGTAGCGTCAACAAATGCACAAGTGGCCAACAGAATGCTAAACCACCAGAATGAATCATAAACACAAGGGGCGTGCCAAAAACAATGGGGAACCACCTCCACGGCGGTTGAACATAGGGGCTTGAGAAACCTTCCAACACCTGTTAAAACTAGATTCGAGCGTCCTTTCAACGGTTAACGCAAGGTGCCTCCGACGGATGGTGAACAGTAAACCGATTCTCCAGCTTCCTCCGAATGGTGAATGCAAAGTGCCCTCCACAGCTGGTGATCGGTGAACACAGGGGGATTTGAGAATGTTTCAACGTCCAAAATAAGGAAGATCAGTGATGAAACGACGAACACAGGTAGAGATGAAGCTTTGGTGAAACGACAAACACAGGTAGAGATGAAGCTCCGGTGATGAGTTAGAGATGAAGCTCGGTGATGAAACGACTATGAGAAATTTTGAAATGGGGAAAATGTTGTAGCTTCGGTAATGAGAGATGAAGCTCTGGTGACTAATGACTCTGAAAAACGGGAAAGGCATTGTAGCTTCAAAATGGGGAAGACGCTATAGCTTAAGTGACGAGAGATGAAGCTCCGATGATGAAACGACTTTGAGAAATTAACTCGAGTGATTAATGGCTTTGAAAAATGGAAAAGACATTGTAGCTTTGAAATGGGGAAGACACTGTAGATTCAAAACGGGGAAGAAGATGATTAACATTTCGTAGAGGGGTATGATGGGTATAACACTGAAATTACGTTGATGTGGGGAGGAGCTGATACAAATTTTGGAAAAGTACAGACATGCTCAATGCAGATTTCTGATTTACAATGTAGAACTATAAACATTTAAAATACCAATAATCCACATTCTATGCACCATTGCCCGCAACATCAATTCCGAATTAGCACCTACCCCAATATCACTGCCTACAAATTCTAACCTGCGCTGAACCGTTATTCTCCCAACAAATTTCGAATTTGCTGATTGGGGCTGGTTTCGATTTCCGTACGTCCCTAGGGGGAGCTGACCGAAGAAACCCCAAAACTGATCACATTCACACGTTCCACCCGGTGCATTATTTAGGGAAAAAACCATCACCCGCCGATCCGCGTGTCGGGCCGACATAAAACCAGTAAGGAGGTTAGAGGAATGGCGCGAGGCGAGAGTCGATTATCTTTCTGTTTAAAACTCGTTTTGCTCGAGTCACATCGCTTTTCGTCAACTGAGTCGATCTAATTGAGCGCGTGTGTAAGCAAATGCGACTCAACCTGCATGCTACGTCAACAAATCAAGGTCAAATATTCAGAAGTAACCTCTTTTTTATCATCAAAGTTAAATGATTAAACCCTCCAGAAGATTGATAAAACAAGTCACCGGCAAACATCCTAGCCGCGAGATCAAGATCCGAGGGTAGCCGCACAAAGTAATAGACACCCGTCGGATCATAGCACCATGGGATTGAACGGTTGAGATTTTCTAAGCGACGGTGGGGAAGGGAGTCAGTGGTCTTTAAGTAGAGGAGCGCAGTAGACGAGCGAACGCAGATTCGCACTTCGTTTTCTCCATTACGCTCGCGCCTCCCTCTCCCTCTCCCTCTAGGAGGAGAAATACGAAGAAGGGTTTCTTTCGCCCAGAGCGAGTTCGTTCATGATCCAGGTTCTGTATTGGATTCATAAATCCTTCCTAGGGTTTTTACTTTCCCCTTTTCAAGCTTCTCTGGAGCTACGATGTGTTATTTTTTATTTTGATTAGGGTTTTTGCCCGAGTTACTGTTGGGGGATAGCATTCGCTTTTCTGAGATTTCGCGACATCTCTCATTCTCTTCTTATTTACACAATTACACTCGTGATTTGTGACGAGGAAGAGGGCTTCCAGTCTACTGAGCGATAGAAGAATCGCGGGATTTGATGGTAATTATACTCTAGGGTTTGGGTATTGCTTTCTTTTTCCTTCATTTTTTTGTTTGGTCTTTCTTTTGGATCCAGATGACGCGTCGTGGTTAGGGTTTTTTGGTGTTGACTCTGGCGTTGTCCTGGGCACGTAAGAATATGTAACTGTCGGATTTGATATGATTGAAGGAGAAACACAACTAGATTTTAACCTAAATATTTAGTTTGCACTCAAGTTCGACCTTCGGTCTTGTTCAGGGGAAAACGAGTGTTGCGGCTTGGTGACTTGCTTTTTGATCTGGTTATTGAGGAATTAAAGAACTCTGTTCACTGAAAACTCTGAATTAAATTTCATCCTGAATCAACATGACCAGATATTGACCCAATACAGAAATTGTTTGTTGTCTTATCCTGGAAGAACGCCGTGGATTTTCTAGGACAAGCGGGGATAAATCTTACTCCGCGTTTGATATGTGCAGATCTAGGGGATTAATCTTATGGCACCAACAGTACTTTTAGAGTACACTGGGCAGAAGGAATCAACGAAGTACTCGCAGAAAGTTTCCGTCGCAATAATGGGGAAAACGCAGAAATCCTCCTCTAAGGGGTATTCTTCTGGTCTCGTTCCGGATTATCGCCATGCTGCCGAGACCTCCGAAGGGTTTGGTAGCTCAGGTCGGGTTGACACGGAGGTGACGGTTTCGGAGGATTCTTGTGCCCCCAAAAGGAAATGCATTAGTCTGAACGTTGATAGTTGTGATGGATTTGGCGTCCCCATACAGGTTCTGTCAGTGTCGAAGATGTCACCTTCAGAAAGGAGGGATTTGGAACGGAGACTCAGAACGGAGCTTGAACAGGTTAGGATCCTTCAGAAGAAGATAGCGGTGAGGAGCACTAATGGTGTTGTTGCCCTGTCTTCTACCAGTGATATCCGCGGTGGCAGTGATGCACGAAAGAGACCTCCATCTTCAGAGCTATCTTCTGGGATGGGCAAGAAACGGGTACCTCCAGGCCGAAACGGGTCCCACTTGAAGCGGGGTCTTTCAGGAAGGTTTGAATCCGCAAAACAGGTTCCACCATCAAGCACATCAAATGCAATGCTGATGAAACAGTGTGAGACATTGTTGAGACGTTTGATGGCACACAATCATGGCTGGGTATTCAACAGTCCTGTTGACGTAGTTAAATTGAAAATTCCTGACTACTTCACTATCATCAAACATCCCATGGATCTGGGGACAATTAAGAACAAGATCGCTTCTGGTGAGTACTCCTGTCCGTGGGATTTTGTTGCAGACGTGAGGCTTACTTTCTCCAACGCAATGACGTACAACCCTCCTGGAAATGATTTCCACGGCATGGCTGATGCTCTCAGTAAATATTTTGAAGTGAGATGGAAATCAATTGAGAAAAAACTTCAGGCAAATGATACAAAGCCGGTTCCTCAGAAAGTCAATGTGGTTCCCACAGAAGAGGAAGTAGCTAAACCAATGCCACCTTCCAAAAAGAGGAAAGTTTCTTCAACCCATCAAAAGGTTAAGCCAGAATGTGCCAAGAGGATAATGACTGATGAAGAGAAACATAAGCTGAGCAGAGAATTGGAATCTCTAGGGGATATGCCTGAAAACATTGTTGATTTCCTTAGAGGACACAGTTTTGGTGCAACCCAAACTGGGGAGGATGAGATTGAGGTTGACATTGACGCTCTTAATGATGATACTTTATTTACATTACGGAAGCTTTTGGACGATTACTTGCGGGAAAAACACGCAAACCAGGCAAAAGCCGAGCCTTGTGAAATGGAGGTATGCTTTATCTATGTTATAGAAGAAAGTTCTGTTCCTTATTTTTTCTCCTCTTTCCAGTTCTGTTAAATGCTTGCATCTACATGTCACTGTACCTTTGTTCTGTCACAGCTCTTGAATGAATCTGGACTAAGCAATTCATCTATGCAACTTTGCAAAGGTTATTTCTCTTTTCGCTTAGTGGATTCTAAAACACTTAGTCAGGCAAGATGAAAAATTTATGGCTACTTTACTTCTCTCTTCCTTTGTACACCAACAGGTAATGAACCTGCCGAGGAGGATGTTGATATTGGTGGGAACGATCTGCCTGTTTCAAGCTACCCTCCAGTGGAGATAGAGAAAGATGCAGTCCATAGGAACAGTAAATGTAGTAGTTCAAGTAGTTCGAGTAGTGATTCTGGTTCCTCATCAAGTGGTTTGTATCTTTTTTCTGCTATTTGCTTTCTTCAATTTTCTCTAGTTTCCTTATTAATTGTCTCAAATGGAGTCAAACTTTTAACCTCATTGCTAAGAAATATAGATTTTACATCAGAACTTTATTGGTTGAGAGGCAATAATGGATGATATTTGTGCCCATATGTGCCCATTATTTAAAGCAGTTTTAAACATAATAGGCCTTTTTATTCACGATATTGTTTTCTAATAATAGTGGTAGTAATAAGGGGAGAAATGACAACAAGTTATCTGAAGTCACTATATGCCATTACCTATTGGTTGGCCCTTGCTATCTGGGATCTTGGACAGGGTGGACCAAATCTCTGACATCTTTTTTACATTAAGTGGCTGCTTAGTTTAGTTTGGGCTTCAACAAAGATGATATCAAAGTCGCCCTTTTTACCTTCTTAATTTGCCAACGGTGTATTCATTTTTTAAGGTTAAAATTCCACATGGCCTAATAGCTATGCATTGGAAACCATGAAGAAGATCTGTGGAAGTACAGGAATGATGTGAAAAAAGATTAAATTGAACAAAGATTATGTCAGTCTTAGTGCAGTGGGTTCAGAGATCAGCTAGCTCTGGCTGATAATCTAGCTAAACAAGGGGCTATGAGGAATCAACTTTTTGGGCTGTGTAAAATACAATGTAAATTTGTACATAAAGTTTTCAATTAATGAAAATTCTGTTATCCTTAGTGTATTGCAAACCTGATGTTTTTCTTTGGATGTCCACTTATATGTCTAAGCAGCAGCCTTGAAGATTTTTTGTTTGAAATGTCTATGCCCAATATGAAAATAAAAAAAGCCATTATGTCACCATATTCCAAAGCAGTCCTTGAACCCCTGACTGCCCTGGATTTCCAATGCTACAGGCTACAGCCATCAAAATTCATTTTAATCTTGTTTGTAGTGGAGTTGTCCAAGGAATAACTATTCTGTTGCATGGGGGAAGATGTCCTCACGTCCCAGCTTCTAAGAATGTTGTCACTTGTGTACATTGGAATTCTTGACTACATTACCCTCACATCTATAGATTGGATGATTTTTCCTCGTAGAATGCTGTTTGTCTGTAAATATCCTAGCATTCCTTTCTTCTTAAATGGACCATAACACAGTTGCTCATTCATAATTTTTTTTTTGGTATAAAAGTGGTTTTCATCTTAATAACTTAAATATAATCATGCATGCAAGACGGGGTCCCATGGTACCTGATTTTTGCTGATGGCATAGTGTTTGATAATCAAACTAGTGAAGGATTAAATGCAAACCTAGGTTTGTTTATAACTGCATTAGGAACAAGAAAATAAGGACTCAAACAGAATGTGTGCAATGTAGATTTAATAATAATAGGAGAGCAAACGAGGGTGCTGACAAGTGATACGACACAGTTCGCCCAAAAGGCACGAGTTGCTGCCTCAAAAACAAAGTAAAATTACAATTGAGCCCAGAATATGTGATCCCTGTTCACTCCTTGCTTAGCTATTAGGTCTGCCAGCCCATTAACTGATCTCAACGTGATTCTTCCATTACCTTGGTTCAATAATTCATAACGAAGGAGAGATTCAGGAGGATGTTGCCCGTAGAATCACAGTAGGATGGGCAAAATGGGTGGGTGCATCCAGGTTATTATGTGATCGGCAAATGCCACTGGGGTTAATAGGAAAACTATGTTTATTGCACTGTTTTATGATGCTTATGCTACTGTATAGAACACAAAGATGAAACAGGATTTATGTAGCTGACCCCACATGTTGGCACAAGGATTTGATGAACATTGATGTTCATCATAAATTCTATTACAGTATAGAACACATCGTTGATCTAGCATGCAATCAGTTATTAGGCAAATATGCTACTTTTGATGCCTCCAGTTATTGGGGTGAAGCCCTTGTTCTCTAATATTTAAAAGGCAAGAAGAAGGGCAAAAAGAGCTGGGTGGAGCACTTCTCCTTCTAACACTAACAGCATTGTGGGAATGGGCTTCTCTTGATAGTTCAATACTTCAATCACATTAAAGGAGCACCATCTTTATGGGGTTGGCGTTGCATTAGTGGATTCATCAGGAAATTAGTTAAGAACCTCATTTTTTTGATGAATAGTTAAGAACCTCGTGTTGTGCGTGATTCTAGAGTTTTGCTTTCTCACGCAACTTTGGTGTGATTGAAATTCCTTTCTGCACTCCAATTAGCATGAAACCACACCTTCCATATTGCCTGTCCATTTGTTGTTGTTGTTTAGTTTACAGGGCTTTCCCGTCCTAGATGTAATAATGCCTGCAGAGGACTGGCTTAATATTCTGGACGCTATACACCATTTCCATTTTTTTTCCAGAGCGATCAGTGTTTAAAATCCAGAATAGTTGGAAAACCTTATTCTCTCAAGTTTTTTTTTTTTTTTTTTTTTTTGAAATAAGAGTTAACTGATTTCATTAATAAAATGGAGTTACATGAGAAGATGTGCAGACTACAAGAAAACCAGCAAAAGAAATTACAAAGGCAGACTTCTTTCACTTTACATATTTTCCCTAAAGGTACCCGATTTAGTCAACCTTCAGCTGTAGTATTTAGTTCTCTGGGAATCCAGATTAGATTTACAGCAAGGTGTTCAAAATGTCTCTGGCGGACTTTCTTGTCTCAAGTTCTTCAGATTGGATTTGCATCTTAGCTGAGCTAGTACCAATTCTCAAATTCTACCCAGTTAGGAGTAGATAGTTAAAAGTGAAAATACATTTCTTTAATAGAGACATGCACACAAAAAATTTAATAGCAGAAGAAGATACGAGTGAACAACTTGAAGCTCTGTTCTGCATTTTTCTATGCATTGAGTTCCTTGTCTTATCAATGTTTTTTCGTGGTTGGTCATACATCAATTAAGCTCTTGAAGACTGCCCAGTTGTAAACAATGAGCTCTCTTGCTGTTCTGGTTGACCCAAAGTGCTGTCAAATAGTTCATTGTTAAACAGCAGCAAGGGCGACAAATCTGCCTATGTTGAAGAAGGCATGATAACTCCTCTGAGATATTCTTTTTACAACTATTCACCTATTGCAAGAATATCTGCTGCATCCCCTACTTTTTTTTCTTGGCTCCTGTAATTTTCCATCTTTGATGAACAAACCAAACATTGTGAAGTGTGTAACCCTAACTGCATTGGGAAGGATATGAAACCTTAACTATAGAAAGGGAGATGTTTGATTTTGAAGACATTTTTAATAGACGTTTGTAAATGTTATTCGTTCATCCTAATAAATGGTATTTCTAAAAGACTTGTTTGTGCTTGCCTCGAGGGGCTTGTTACAAAGGTGGCTCGTAGAATTAGAAATGCATAATGCTCAACATCATATTAGCTATTTGAAGTAATGCAATTGGGAAAAAAATAAAGAGATCAAGAGTTCACATGCTTGAATATGTTTTATATGTTATGCTTGATTTTATTTTTAAAATTTCATTTTAAATATGTTTTACATCTTATGTTTATATATTGTAATTTGAAATAATAGTTATTTTAAAACATTTATTTTGAATTTTAAGTTTATATTTTTAATTAATATTGTGTTTAATATTTTTGGCATTGTTTTGAATTTTTTAGCATTTTTTTTTGCATTCTTGTGCCTTGCTTCAAAAAGGCATGTACCTTGCCTTGCACCTTTTGTCTTGGGTGCAAAAATGGCTCTTGTGCTTTTTTTGCGCCTTGCACTTTTAAAACACTGGAAAAGGCAACTAGTTGAGAAATGCCTTCAACTTTAACTTATCTACAGGACTTTATATTCAAGTTTTAACTATTTATTTGCATAAATATCAGATGAGTTCTTTATAACCTATTTTTAAAGTTTGGATTCTTAAATTTCCAGTGTGATATGCATTTGATTTTTTCCAGTTTTCTTCATATTCTTTCTTTTTCCTATTATTTTCCTGGACATTATCCCTTGTTTAAATGTTTTATCATATTTTGTATTATTTTTTCAACCTTTTTGGTGGATAAGATTGATTGGGATAGTCTCTTCAACAAAGGCTAAAGTCATGGCAGCCTTAACTGGAATCAGGATTGCAAGAGATCTGGGTTATTTTAATATCACCATCAAAGGAGATTCTGCAAATACTATTAATGTGGTTAGCTGATCCTGACATAGGTCCCTGGGCTTTATTTCACTTCTTGGCTGAAGCTAGAGACATCCTTTCCAACTTGAACGCACAGTTGGGTTGGGTCCCTAGAGGGCTAAACTCTGTTGCTGATGGTCTTGCAAAGGCTGGTGTTCACAGGGATTACATGTTTAGTGATAGTTTTCTCCCTGTATAACTCATTGAATTAGTAGTTTCTGTGTACATCTTCTCATGTACTCCTTTCCCTTTGAATAAAGTTACCATCTTTAAAAAAATGATTGAGGCTTGGAACTTTGTTACCTTATCTTGACCAAAAGGAATACAAGCCATATTATTTTGCAACCCTTACACATTGGCCAACAACCTACATTAATCACCAGTGGGCTCAGGATGATAGACTGACATTTTCATCATGATTGCTACAATTACAACCATAGCCATTGAACTCCTTGGCCAACAGTCTGGATAAATTGACTGGGAATTCTTGAATCTTGATGATAGATCTACATTTATGTAATGTTTACAAAGGTTGCTTTTGATAAAAAAAGTCATAAAGAATTGGTTTTCCATCTATATGGCACTGTTGGTAAGCAAGTTAAGAAGTTAAAAAAACCGTTTTGTCTGATGACGATTAACATGAATCTTTAAGTTACTTTTTAATAAGTTGCTTGTGATGGACTTACTGACTAGCCAAATGCCACCTTATTGCTTCACACTCTGTCTGCTTTAGCCTGTTTTTCGAATAGACTAGTCCTCTTGATTTTGAAATTTAGATAGCTTTGCCTGTTTCCTTCCACAACTATTTGGATAGCATGACTACTTTGGAGGGGTTGGGGGATAGCCAGCATCACACTTCCCATCCTCAAAGCAACTTGAAATTGTAACATCCCTGAGCTCGTTCCTGTATTTGGTTTTTATTATCATTCCAAAAGCCATGGTTTCATTGTAAATTTCGTGTTGGTTAGCTAACCCCAGGACAAAAGTTTCTTAATCTGGTGTTTGCACTGTTGTTCTTGGTCTGCCTTTACTGAAAGCTATATCTAAATTATCACCGTTCTGTTTCAGAATTTATTGAATTGCCATCAAGGTTCTTTATCTTCTGGGAGTTGCTCAATTAACTCTGGATTCTCATTATGTTCTGTTGAGATTATCATGTGGTAGTTGTTCATCTTGTATCTTAACATATGCTGGTTCTTAATATGTGAATGTTTTCCTTCTCCAGATTCAGATACTGCCAGTTCTTCAGGCAGTGAGTCGGATGGTGCCAAAGCTATGTCTCCGCCTAATACAGCTAAAGTATGTCCTGTTATGCAGTGCTATTAATTGCTTTGTTTTTATTAATGTTGAGCCACGGTACTGAGTTTCTTCTTCCATGATAATTAAATTGCTTTACTGATCTTGTGGACCAAATGGAACTTGAATTCTTCTGGACACCACTTATCATTCTGTATGCATGATTTTCTCTTCATTCATCTGACCCTCTTGGCCACAGGGAACCTTAGGTTCTGAAGTGGAGCTAGAACAAACGAGAGGTGATCCTGTTGATTCACATGATGGAAACCGTGAGTGTTAGGTTTTTTGTTTCTGCATATTCCCTGAACTAGGGTATGGATATGGTTAAAGAATGGTCCAGGTGGCATTTAGATACTTATTTTTTTTTATGATACAGAATCTATTAGTGGGTTGGATCAACTTGAGCAGAGTGCCCTACCCAAGCCAGTTTCTCACGAGGCAGGGCGTCAAGAGGGTAACAATGATCAGTTGTTCTTGGTTGTGTGTTGTTCCTTTTCTAGTGCATCTTCTTACCTCTCACATTTTTAGGGGAGAGTGCTCCACCATCTGAGAGGCAGGTCTCTCCTGAAAAGCTGTATCGAGCAGCTTTACTGAGGAGTCGTTTTGCTGATACCATTCTCAAAGCTCGGGAAAAGGCACTTGATCAGGTTACATTCTTTACTTGTATCTAGTAATTTTATCAGTATTTTACTCTGGATGTGATCTGGTATGAGCAATCTTCTGAGGTCAGGGTGAGAAAGGGGATCCTGAGAAACTACGGCGTGAGAGAGAGGAACTTGAGAGGCAGCAAAGAGAAGGTTTGGACTTTGAACTTGAAAAATGTTCCCTTAGGTGCTAATGCATTTATAGGCATCTATCAGAAAACAGATCATTATAAAAGCCATTAAAATCTTATGGTTTTTCTACTTCTCAGAGAAAGCTCGACTTCAAGCAGAAGCCAAGGCTGCTGAAGCTGCTCGAAGGCAAGCTGAAGCCGAAGCTGCAGCTGAAGCCAAACGGAAGAGGGAGCTTGAAAGAGAGGCAGCACGTCAGGCACTACAGATGGTAGGTTGTCATATATTTTATATTGTATCGTCTATTGGAGCTTTCCTGGATTTGGCATTTAATGGATTTTGTTGCGGAAATTGTGCAGATGGAGAAAACTGTTGAGATAAATGAAAATTGCCAATTTCTGGAGGACTTGGAAATGCTTAGATCTGCACCTGCTGAACCGTTACCAAGTTCTGTAGATGAAACAAGCCCAGATCATTCTCAAGATGGCTTAGGTAGTTTCAAGTTTCGGGGAAGTAATCCCTTGGAGCAACTTGGATTATACATGAAAATGGATGATGAAGAGGAAGAAGAAGTTGAGCCGACTGGTGTGCCTGACCCAGGAAATGATGTAGAGGAAGGAGAAATAGATTGATTGGGTATTTTTGATGGCCAATATCTATTCTTTTGATCCACCTAAGATGGCTTGGACCCAACAACTTGTTTGGTTATCAGTGGGATATTGAGTTCTCTTTCTGCAATGGGATGCCAAGGTTTCGCCTTCCTCTGCTTTCAGCAGCTTCACACCAGCCACTGAGATTATTTACAGACATGAAACGACGGGTGAAACAAAATTCTGTTTGAGTTTTTTGGCATGGATTTTTGGCTTTTTGGGTGGCAAGATGACCGGTGTGGTTTCTACGACCTGGTGAAGTGCATAATGGGGTGTAAAGGATGTATTGATAGCCACGAATATCGATCCTGTGCCTATTTTTTGTATAAAAGAAAAAATCATACTTCCACCAGGTATCGTGGTAAGTGTTGCAGTTGGGGACTGCCATTCATGTTTAATGATGAGAAGAGGAAGAGAGGGATATTATTACATTGGAGTTTGTTTTGTCGATATGAAACCTGGTATTCCCTGTTCTTAAAATTGGTCTGTCAATGTGCTTGATCCATGAGCATGAGAGTGATGAGATCTTGAAGAAACGAAACTCCATTCAGTGGGAACTCTGGGAAGGAAGGCAAGGAAAAATTTTGGGGTGGTTTTCGTCTTCTTTTCTTTATTTATTTTTATTCTTTTGCGCTTTAAAGCGCGTGAGATGTAATAGAAAGGGTTTATTGGCTTCTTGGATGTTTCATTTTTTTTCCCAGAAATGAGGATGCATGGATGCACCTGCATCTTGAAAACGAGCGTCGAGCGGTAAATGTCATGAGAGGCTTGATGCGGTATGTAGGTCATATTTGGGAGTGTTTATGTTAAAAATAAGTGCTTATTCAAATAAGCATTTATTTGTATTTCACACCCAATTTTTTTAAGTGCTTATTATTTCATATTGGGTGTTTGGTAATCTTTTTCTCTAATAAGTACTTAAATAAGTGTTTATGACTATTTTTGTCTCTCATTTTCTTTTAAATTTTTTGAAGTATTTTTATAAAATTATTTTTGTAAAATAATTTTTATTAGAACATTTTTATGAATTTTTTTTTCGTAAGTGTTTTCATAAAAGTATTTTTATAAAAATATTTATATAAAATTTGAAAAAAAGTAAGTAATTTTATGAAAGTATTTTTATAAAATTCAATTAGAGATAATTTTGAAAGAAAAGTGCTTATTGTATAAACACTTAAAAAAAGCTGAAAATTTAGGTTTGAAAAATAATTCGGCTTATTTCTCAAACACAAAATGTTTAATGATGTGGTCTCGGCCCAAATAAGTTTTTCGCAAATGCAAGCATTGGAAATTTCTGGTTGGGCACTTTGAAAACGAGCAGCGAGCATCCGAAATAATTTAGTGGTTGGTTCATGCAGGTTTTATTCTCTCATTTTCTTATATAAAATTGTACGATGTTACAATGGCTTAGCGCCTTGCCAACGTATCGTACATGTAGTGGGGGCCGACTGTTTTATCATTTGATGTTCTTTTTTTTTTATGTTTTATTTGGTCAGTTACACAAATTCTGAGGATGCTCGATGATAAAGTAAATGGGGTCAATGTGGCGTCTGCAGTTGGGCAATGGAGGCAAATCTTCCATTCCATGACCATTTTGATTCGCAGTTCTGGTGTCTGAACTCCAAAGGGAATTTGTGTAGTGTAATACTGTAATGCCTAAAGCTTAAAGTTACGTGGAGAGTGGCAATCTTAAGACGAGAATGGTTCTTGAGCAAGGCATGGATTTACTGCATCGGCCTTTTTTTGGTGTAAAATATTTTCCGTGCCAATTCTGAAAGTGTTGAGATCCAATCGATCTGTGGAATCGTAAGTTCATAAAAAAAATTTGTAAATTCATAAAAAAAAGTAGCAGTTAAGAGGCATTAGTTGGCTACCAATTATAAAAAAATGGTTTAGTATACTGCAACTCAATGCAGAATTCTGAATTATAACCCCATAGTAATTCTGACCTGGACTGATCAGTTATTCTCTCTAACCTCAAAATAAATAAATAAAAGAAAAAAAGAGTATTAGTGTAAGAAAAAAAAGAGTACTATTGTTAGTTGGATACCAATGGCAATGGCAAATCAAAGTTATAGAGAAGCAACGTCTCCATTCTCCTAGTGCGGACTGGGAAGCATTTGGATGAACCCCGTTGTTGCTGTGCTAAGGCCCCCCTTGCTGAAACCTCTGACATATTACATGATGCAGATCTCCATCCTATATGATTGGGATGTTTGGGGAGTGGGTTCTTGAGTTTGGCGCTTAGTTTTGCACATCTAGGTTATATGCAATTTCATAAGAGTAGCAACAATAACGAGATCTGAAAAAAAAAGAAAGAGTGATGAACGGAGAATTTGGACGGAGTTGAAGTGTTGAATGGAGAAACTATAGATAGATCTCCAAAAAGACCGCCACATAATGAGTGCCCAAAAGATCAACTACGAGACCTTGCTCTCCACTACCGTTTCGAAGCTTTGGAGAAACCCTAGAGCAGAAATAGAGAAGGTACAAGCAGTATCGTTGTTTGAAAGTCTGCTTTCCTTTTCAAATTACCCCTGCTGGTGCCGGAGATTACTAGTGATTGGCTCAACCATAAAAAGGTATTTTTTAAGGTAGAATTGTCTCCAAATGAAAAGGGTATTTTTGACCGTAAAAGAGTAAAATAGTCTTTTTTATTTTGTTGTTAGTGGAATATTAAAAGGTACTAACAGTAAGGGAAATATTCGTCAGAAACAGTAGAAATAGCAATAGTGAATTTTCAAACATTAACGACACACTTAGTCGATTAGCTAAACCATAAAAGTAGTTTAAGTAATTTATCCTTTTTAAAACCTTGAGCATAATGATGTAAAATTTGAAAAACAAGAATAAGAGCCCATATGACATTACTATTATAAGCAGGTAAACATTCAAATCAATGAAATTCGTAGAACTGGGAATAGTGGGATTAACCAACGCCCTTTAATGGATGGTTGAAACTTAATTTTGATGGGACTGTTTCAAGTAATCAGTCGGGTTTGGGTGCTCTTGTTGTAAATGATTGTGGTCGGTTTGTCGCTGCTTTCTCCAAACCTTTCTCCTTAATTCTTGGTTGTACCTAGCAAAAAGTTTACCCAACCCGCAAACCTGACCCAATCCTATAAAAAAAAACAGGGTTAGGGTCTTATATTTAGTTATATGGATGGAAGAATGGCCCAACCCGATCCAATAAAAAAAAAAGGTTGGGTTGGGTTCAGTCATGGGTCAACCCATTGATCAGATTGCCAGGTCTAATTGGGATTATTTACGTATTGTTTGAAGTTTTCACTCTTTAATTTTTTTATTTAGCCTTTACTCTTTGAATTGTTAAATGTTCAAGTTTTTTATTTTGTATTTGGAATTTTAAGGTTAATTCCTTTAATTTTGGCAATTTTCATGTATTTTTTTTTATGTTTTTAAATTTCAGTTATTTTTTTTGGATGACCCGAATTGACCCCATGGGTCAATCCTAACCCGAACATTTAGGGTTAGGGTCTAGCATTTGACAACCCAACTCGAAATCAACCCGAATTGTCTTGACCCAACATGAACTCGTCCCACCCAACCCAATTGCTAGGTCTAGTTGTGGAAGCAAAAACTCAAGGCTCTTTTCGAACTTTGAAGGCCTCAAATTATCTCATAGTTCAAGCATCCCGAACTTGATCGTGGAATGATATGCAAGAATCATTGCGTTAAACAGTAAACCTGATTGACTTGACCCTATAGGGTTGGGTAGGGGTGAGCATTATTCGGTTAAAACCGAAATATCGAATTTTAGGTTTCGGTTTTTGGGTAATTCAGTTTTTATGAATTTCGGTTTTTGGTTTTCGGTTTCAGTCTTCAAAGTTAAAAATTCGGTTAACCATGAAAACCAAATTAACTAAAATTTATTATATAATATGTAATATATAATATACAATATATAACATTTAATATATAGTATGCTATATATTTATATAATAATATATTATATATAGTGTATTATAATGAAATTTAATTTCATAATATATATTATAATAATATATAGGGTAAAATACAAAAACCTCACCTAACGTTTTTTATAATCATAAAAACCTCTTATAGTTTCACTTTAGTAAAAAATTCCCCTGAATTTTTAAAGAATTCGACAAAAACCTCCCTTCCAGCAATGACCCAAATGGAAAACGTCAGACCGGTACATCAAATTTGTTCTAAATTCCCATTTTACCCTTTTGCAAATTAGTTTGCATACATTTTTATTGAAATACCCCTACCAACCTGTTATCCTCTTTACCTCTCCTGTCAATCTCTTTTATCCTCTGTCCTATCCCTGAATTCTTTCATCTAAAAAGGAGGAAAGCTACAACTCTTTTAATCTTTCATCCAAACCCAAACGGAACACAACTCTTTCCTTTTCTTCCTGAACTTTCTTTGCCGATTTCTTCCTCCTCTTTCAATCTCCCAAGAATCTGTAATTTTGTGCTCAGTTATGTTCTTCTGTTTATTGCCCTACTTGACTTAGAAAAAAATCTATTTATTGAAGAATAAAATTTTAATGTACTTTGGAGGTATGGACCTGTTGAATGATATAGAGTATTTTTCTTATAAAAAATATTCAAACCAGCAGCTGTTTGTGCGAATGGAATGTTGTTTTCAACACAGAATTAATTAATGTTCACCATTCATTGGCTTGGCCGCCTGGCATTGATAGCTCCAAGGTGATGGAAGATACTTATGGTGGGGAATGGGATGATATTGATCAGCCATATGAGGTTCCTAAAGCCAACCATCCACCATTACCAGTCAAGGAAGCTAATGGGAACGAGGGTTCATTCTCATGAGTTTTTTGTACACGGGTTTCCAAATCATAAAGTACACAGTGTGGTATATTTTCAGCCCCAGAATTTTCTATATACAGGTTTTCAAATCATTCTTCGGTATAAATGCATCACTGTAAGTCATTTGTATATAGATTTCACTTCTAGGAAGGAAATTATTTCCAAAATTGGGTCCTTTAATCGAAAAACATCTCATATAGCCATAATCTACTCTTGCAGCTGAAGCGTTCTCTCTTCCAAAGTTTTGTGATTCCAAGTTTCAACTGAGATAGATAAAATAGAGCAAGATGAACAATTTGATAATAAAACCCTTCCTCAGCTATGTGGATATGAAGAAAGAAGCTATGAAAGATCTGGAAGCTGGCAACGTTGAACTGGAGATGGTAGTGACGATGACGCAAAATCAAATAGACCATAGGAGGCCGAGATGGTGAAAGAGATTAGTTTCATCAGAGACATCCTTCGTCGACTGCAGCAAACCAACGAAGAGAGCAAGTGCCTCCACAAGTTGGAGACCCTAAAAGCCCTACACACACGGACCAATGCCGATATCGTGACTGTGCTTAGAAGGTGAGAAGCATCAAGTCTCAACTCGAGGATATGGACTGCACCAACGCTGCCAATAGGAGACTCTGTGGATACAGAGAAGGGATGCCGATGGACCGCACAAGGACTTCGATCACCATCAGGCTGCAGAAGAAGCTAAAGGAGCTGATGGACTTCTAGGAGTTGAGGCAGCGGATGATGGTGGAGTATAAAGCAATGGTGGGCTGTCGATATTTCACGGTAACAGGGGAGTACCCGGAGGAAGAGGTGATAGAGAAGATTATATCAAGTGGGGCAGTTCCAGGAACTGGAGGGGAGGAGCTACTACAGAGGGCGGTGCAGGAGCACGGGAGGGAGGGGAAGGTTCTTGAGACGATGTTGGAGATACAAGACAAGCATGGCACAGTTTGGTCATTGACGGAAGGGAGATTTTTGTTGAATTCTTTAAAAATCCAGGGGAGGTTATATATATATATTAAAATCAGTTTTTGAGGCCACACCATGACATGACCCATATATATATGTGTATAAATTTTTATCTTCAAATTTTATTTTGTTATTTCATATGTAAACAATTGCATACATTAAAATTTATATGAAATAAAATTTTAATATTTTTTTTTCAATTTATTGTTTACATAATAATTTATTTCAACTTTTTATTTCAGAATTTCTAAATAAAATCATACGCCCATGAACTATGCCGACCCAACCTGAACCACATTACACCTCTAAAGCCGAATGCATCAAGGTTTTTAAAACTGACCCAGAGAACGAACCGGTCAGGGGTTCGGTTTTTGGGTCGAATGATCGACCTGTTATGACAAAAAAATAAAAAAAAATGGTCAAAACCATTGAACGATTTGAACGCCCGGATCAGCGGTTTGCTAACCAATTCAATATTTTTTTGGCCAAAATCCAGTTTTGACGAAAAACGGAACCGATCACCTAACCGGTTCTCGATTTTTCCGGTCCGGTCCGGTTTTGAAAACCATAGAATGCATTTTATCATTGACGTGAAGTTGTTATTATTGGTTATATACTTGAACAGCTAGAGTGATGGATAAAGGTTATTTTACGGGAGATGTGCGTAGTTTATCAAAACTGAGTTGTGCCCTAATCAGAAACTTATGATATTGGAAATACATGATACAAGAAATTCGGGGCCATTGGTCAAAGCACTTACGGTATCATACTGGCGACATTACACGGATTTGATTGGTGTAGTGGAATCCGAGTGATAAACCCAGTAACAGTAAACCGGGAAAAGGCGAGTTATAGCGGGTTGAAGAAGCCAGACCAGCCGCATAGGTTTCATCGTCGCAGACTCGCAGCATTCTGCTTCTGCATTCGCACTCGCACTACAGTCGGTACACGCCTTCGGAGCTTTCAAAGTTCCACCTATAGCATTTCTTCTCTACTTAATAAGCTTGAGAAAAAGACTTAAAAAGCGTGACCTTTCTTCACCTCTGGGCGACCCTAGCTAGTTTTTCTCTGTATTCTTCAACCGTTGCCGTCGGGACATTCGTCAGAACTTTCATGGCTGCTGCTACCAGATCCGCTGCCGTAGCCTTCAACTCTGCAGGAATTCCGGCCAAATCCACACTTTGCTCCCGACAAACCGCTCAGAATATCGCTCATTTCCCGAAATCCCAGCTTACCTCCGGTAGCAGTCCATCTTTGCAGCTCCAATCTTGCGTTGGCCTCCAGTACAGATCGGGGAGTTCCTTTGCTTCGTCTGGTAACACTTTTCGTTCCTCTACCAAGTTCTTTTCGTGTGGTTCTTTGCTGTTTTGTTCTGTTCTTGTTTCATCGCCTGATTTGTTGTTATTGTTCCTAATCTTTTGGCTCTTGGTGGAGTTTCACATTTCTTTTCTAATTTAATTAGTGGTGAAACTGAATCGACTGTGTCGTAATTTGTACTGAAAGAAACCTTTTTCAATTCATCTAGTGGTGAAACGGAATTGACTGTGCCTTTTTTTGAGGTGACAATCTTTTACGTTGAAGTCGGTTATTTCTATATAATTTGCATACTTGAGGTTGATCCCAGTGATTTGGAGTTCTAAATTATATCGACTTTTTGATGGGCATAATTTCCTTTGGAGTTTTTGATTACGGTCAATTTGTTCAATCATCAAATTCTACTTCATTGCGGTATCTCTTTTAGAGGTCACTTTTGTTGCCTTAGCTCCTCCTCTTTTTTATTCCTTTTATTATTACCTCTGTAATATCTTTCCTCTACTTTCTGATTACCATTTTTTTCTTAGGTAAATTGTCTCTAATTTCATACCAATTGAACCTTGGGTTACAAGTCTAATCTCATACCTTCTTCCCTTCATTTACTTCCTTCTGGAAATCCAGCTATTAAGCGATATGATGAGCATTGTCCTTGTTCCTTCTAGATGTATCACAACGTTGACTTTTAGGATTGTTCTCTGTTTTTTGCCCCGGCGTCCGGAACAATGCATAATCAACTAATTTCTTTTAATATGCAGGTGTAAGAGCTCAGGTTGCAGCTGCCGAGCAAGCAAGTGTTAAAGTGGCTCAAAATGTGGAAGCTCCTGTTGTTGTTGTCACCGGTGCTTCTAGGGGAATTGGAAAAGCAATAGCTTTGGCGATGGGTAGAGCTGGTTGTAAGGTCAATCCGTTTAATTTTGCATACCTAGTGTGATTAAGTTGGAAAATACTTGTATAGTATTACTGATTAATTATGTCATATCTTTGAAAAGGTATCCATTTCTGAGTGAAAGTATCTGTCTTTGATAGGTTCTGGTGAATTATGCAAGGTCTGCTAAGGATGCTGAAGAGGTTTCCAAAGAGGTAAGACTTATCATCACCCCATAAACCGTTGTTGTAGTTTGGCATCTAGTACCATGTTGTTGTTTATGAGCCTCCTTTGTCTGGGCGTATTGCTTATACTGAGTTGATATATTATCTTAATGCTTCATTTTTCTTTCATTGGACAAAAGATTCTCTCTCTCTCTCTCTCTCTCTCTTTCTGCAGACATGTTTGGTTAAAATTCTACACCCAAAAATTAGTAAACTAAATCTCTTAGCTTCAAATAATCGGTTCTTAGAATGAATTTTGAACCTAGGAAAATAATTAGTTCTAAAAATTTTCAGAACTCTAAACATAAAAGTGATTCTTTGAATCAGAAAATTTATCAGATTTATTCTCCCAAAGCATGCTAAATGCAGCAGTTAGTCTTGACTTTTTTTGTTCATCCAGTTGCCTGATTAAGATGTAAAACTGTAATTTCAATAGACTTTCATCATGATCACAACATCTTTTGAGAATTAGATCATTAAAATGAGTTAAATGGAAATATTCCCAAATAGAAGAATGCCCATTTTCACAATATTTGCCTAATGAGTTAGAACCATTCTTAGAGTGTTAGGCTTTATTTGGGAAGGCTTAAGCTTTGGTTGAGTTTCTTAAGCTGAGCTGCTTTGGAGAAGGAACTAAAAGAAGCTTCAAGGGGAATTGGGAAGCCATTTAAATGACTTGAAAAATGGTCAGTTTTGTTTCTCCAGATTTTTCGCCACACATTGCTTATAGGCTTTCCAGTGGAACCTTACCTTGCAAGGCCAGAAGCAGCAAAGTGAAAGCCCTCCCAATTGGGTACTTAATATAAAACAATTCCAGCACCAAAACCTATTGGAAAATGTTTATTTATTTTTTTGTAAGTAGTTCAGATTTTATTAAAGATAGCAAATGATTTACAAGAGATCCATAGAGTGGTAGGAGATCTACCGCTCCCACAAAAAGGTCCCTATTTTACAACTAATTCCAAAGTGTATTATAAACCAATTACAATTCAGCCCAATATAATACTTCCCTATTAACCCCTTGTTTAGCTAGTACATCCACCATGCCATTTGCCACTTATTGAAATTTTACTTGAGTGTCCTTAGCCATGCCATTTCTCAATTCATTCTTGAAGGACCACAAGACCCTCTTTTCATTTTCCAGCCTGCCAATCACTACCTTAGAATCCCCTTCAATGACTAACTTGTCAAACCACAAGTTTTTTGCCAGCTCCACTCCTTGTATTACTGCCAACTTATAAGTAAATGATCGTTGTTTTCAATTTGTCATCAGTTATTTGTTCAAAATCTTAATGCAACTTTTATACATGTCCTGTATCTAGAATTTCTGGTAATTGTGATGATTCCACCAAAGACATAACAGAAAGTGCATGCAGAAATACCCTATGAGTATCACCTTGATTTTTCTTGGTTCCGTATGCAAGTTCATAGTGGTTGCTCTATTTGTTTTGGTGCTATAGTTATACAGGCCTTCATCCCTGCACACAATTAAAAGAAAAATGACTAGTTTAAACTATGTTATTATGGTTCATCTCTGCCACTTTTATGCTTATTAATGCTAATTTATCAAGGTCATAAATTCATTGTTATCAAATTCTTGGATCATGATCTCTCATTTCATTTTACTTTTACTTTTGCTGGTGGACATAGATAGAGGCATCTGGTGGTCAAGCTCTTGTTTTTGGGGCAGATGTTTCAAAAGAAGAAGAAGTGGAATCAATGATAAAAACTGTAAGATGAAGTTCCTTCTTCGTATTGATTCAGTGAGTGGCCCATGAAATTATTGTGGTTGCATATTTTAAAGCTGATTCCTGGTATTATCATGTCTTCAGTCAGTAGATACATGGGGAACAGTTGACGTATTGATAAATAATGCAGGTATCAAGAGTTTGTACATGGTTCATTAGAATTAAGCATTTTTGTTCATTGTCTCCTTCTCCTGACAGTTCCACAATGGCTTTAGGAATTACTCGTGATGGTTTGCTGATGAGAATGAAGAGACCTCAGTGGCAGGAGGTCATTGACTTGAATCTTACAGGTGTATTTCTGTGTACACAGGTATGTATGCTGGAATGTCTAACTATTTAGGTTTTATTTCTTAATTTCTGTCTTTTGTAACCAAGGCTGTCTACTTCTGCAGGCAGCGACGAAAATTATGATGAAAAAGAAAAAGGTAATTCAGATTTTTTGGCATCACAGGTTCTGGGATATTCAGTTTCCTTTCCTTTTCCCCCTTTTCCTTTTTTCTTGGGGTGTGGGCTGGGATTGATCTGTGCATCATGGTTCAGTACACCATCCAATTCAGCTGGTTTCTCAATTTTGATTTCCTGCTGCTTCTAGAATTAACAACACAAAGAGAGGACTTTGTTCTTAATTATGGTGGATCAGCCCTAGCAGTCATTGGTAGTTAACAGAGGCATAGGAAGCAAGATACATTGCAGAGATCCCTAAAGTACCTTATACAACTGAGGGTCTTGAACCACTCTGTCATGCCTTAACCCTTATATGGATGCATATAGATGGTCATTTCCCTGATGGATGTGGTAGACTATCCCTTTTTGTGGTTGGTTCTTCTTCTGTTGAAATTTCCTCAATGTAGCTCCTATCTCTACATGCCATTAGTCTAACTATATTCTAGTTGGATTCTGTTGATGATACCTCTTCAAAGCCCATTTAGCTTGAGTCAACCTATTTTCAACAAATGTATTGGACTTTATTTTTCAACAGGGACAAAAAGACCAGAACACAATTTTAGTGGATGTTTATGACATGTATAAACATGGGGTTATTTAAGTGTCACTTATTAGGCATTAAATAATGTCATTAGTTATATCTCATTTAGCTAAGCATTATTTTGGTTTTTTTACATTTTTTTCCTGTTCTGCCATCTATTTTACTAACTTGGCAATATTGATACTGCAGGGGAGAGTAATCAATATAGCATCTGTTGTTGGTCTAGTTGGCAATGTTGGACAAGCTAATTATAGTGCTGCAAAAGCAGGTGTCATTGGCTTCACCAAGAGTGTTGCAAAGGAGTATGCAAGCAGAAATATCAATGTGAGTGTTTAAGAATAGTTCAATTATTCATCCCCTCTCCTCCCTCCTGGCAGTGTTAGCGGATGTAAGTTTTGTTGTACTGGTTGCATAGGTGAATGCTGTTGCTCCTGGTTTTATTGCATCGGATATGACGGCCAAGCTTGGAGAGGACATTGAAAAGAAGATCTTGGAAACCATTCCCTTGGGTAAGAGCAGATTAAGGCCTAGTTAGTTCTTTTGGGACAAAACACCAGCATTATTTAAGGGTCTATTGATGAAGTCATTATTAGGAACATATATGATGGGTCAAGTCTCCTTCAAAATCTCATGCCTGCACTTTTCCTAAATGTTTAATCAGCAGACTGTTTCCTGGATGGGGAAGCTCTTTTTTCCTCATCTTAATTGGCATCTAAATGATTGCTCTGGTTTTTGTTCTGTGGTCGATTCAATTTTAAACCATTGTTTCAATCCAGACCTATGAATGAAGCACAGCTATTAAGGGTGATTTGTTGCTTGTTTATTGATGATATATAACCTGATAGTTTAAAGGGAAATATGGAACATATTGCCTACGCGCATGGAAGGAAAATGTGATTATGTGATCATCTCATACTCAATCCTGATGTCAGGGAGGTATGGGCAACCAGAGGAAGTTGCTGGTCTGGTGGAGTTTTTAGCCCTGAATCCTGCAGCAAGTTACATTACTGGACAGGTAATTTCATCGTAAATCTACTTTATGCAGGGATAAAAGTACCAATTATTTTTTTCCTCTCCATCTTCTTTTGTTCCCTTGCTTGGCAGCTTCAGCTTCTCAAACAGATTGCTACTACTGTTTTGCAGGTGTTCACGATTGATGGAGGCATGGTGATGTAGCAAGTCTGCACATCCTCTCAGTCCCAGCGCAGTAAGGTCCTTTCAAAAAACCTGTCAAGGTCTCAGAATTGTTTGTTCTACAAGGGGTTTCACTCTGTTTAAATGGATCCTTACATTCATCTAGCGTAATATTGCACAGAGAAACAGACTTTTGTTTCCTAGAGATGATCAAAGCAATTTTTGTAGTTTGAAGCTGGCGTTATATTGGAGACAAATATTCTTTCTATGGAGCTGGTACTTCTATCCCGTCTAATTAGTAATTAGATCGTTCTTTTCATTTGTTCAACTTTCACGTCATTTATTGGTTTCTGTCCCCAACCACTTTTATATTTTACATTTCTACTGCTCTGGTGGCAAGGGTCTGATTCCGACGCTAATTATTTTTCACAATTAGTTGAGCCCGTTTACTATCTTATATTGAAACTTGAAAGTTGAGTGAGAGAAAGGCGCTAAAGAAAAGTGAATGATTATCGAGCCATGAGTGGATTTTAGGCTTAACCCATACTACATACTAGGAAAATTTAGGGGAGTCATCAACCAAGTGACATGGTTCAACTTAGTGACTTGTATTTATGTTTTGTTTTCTATAGCCAAAAGGCCCGAAGGCCGAAACCATAAGATATTTTGCTTATCAATTTATCATTTCCTAACAATATCATTCATCAATGAAATATAAATCTTAGAATCTGTGGGCAATACAGAACAGAAAAAAAAAAAAAACATTGTAGAACCAGGATACAAGGAGAGCTCCCTCGTACTGCAGCGAGGTGCCCTCCCTTCAATCAGTCCCATGTATAGAAGATCTTAACCCACCATTAAACAGGTCTTATTCCTATCTAAAAGATAAACTATTTGAAAAATTACAAAGATCAGATTAGTTGTTCTACTTGCTTTAGTGGAAACAGTAAGAAATGATTTAAACACCCATCATTTGGCAATGGATATGGCAATTAACCGGATGGAATGGCCAAACAGGATTCATGTAGCCCATTCCATATTATTGGGACAAGGCTTAGAAGACGACTGGTAGCTTAGAAATAAAGAAACTATATTTCTAAGATTCTTTAGTATTTTATTATAAGGCAAAATTGGAGATTGGGGCAACTAGGTTTTTGTCTGAAATGAAGGATAGAGTTCTATGAAATAAACCTTTTTTTTCATATGTATACCTTAGAGAGATCAGTCATCTCAACCGGGAGCATAACTTGACAATATCTAATTCCGATCTTTCGGAGCTCACTATTGCTAAAGAGTTCAACAATTTTGGTTTCACCCTTAGAGAGGTTAGGAATAGATGGTGAGCCGGTATTTGCCGTTTCTAGGCTTCAGAGGATGAAAAAGACAAAGAGGGTTTCAGTGTTTGGAAGATCTGTCTTATGAAAATGTTTCCACTCAGCAATGGTGTGGCTGTAAAAGTCGTGGGCTTATGCAATTGCATGCGTCTTAGGTGCTAACACATGGATTTGTATCTTTTTCTTTTTTCAAACCCATAGTCCCCCGCAGACCATGTAGGATTCTATCCCAAGAGCTTGGATATGCTGACCACAATAGCGGTGCTCATGGTTCGGTTAACCGGTCCTCTCGTTTTTTCCATATATGTTATAAATATAAAAAACCAAAAAAAACAAACTGATAAATGTAACCAGCAATGTGTTATGGTCTGCATATCCCAACTCATGCTAAAAACCTTACCAACAAGTCAGTTGGTATATGTTCAATCTATTGTTTTTTTTTTTTTTTTTTTTTGAGATTCAATATGGAAGCTGGGCGGGCCTGGACTATAACTCTTACCATAGATGCTAAGCCCGACCCATGCATGGCCACCTTGATGACAGGGTCAAGGGTAGAATTTATATTTGATCAGGACAGAAGAGCGTTGAAGTTGGCCTACCAAAAAAGGTAAGGTTTCTCACCTTTTTGTTTGGAGTAAAATGGGTTTTCTGTTTTTTTTTTTTTTTTCTACATCTATTGTGATTTGCAATACTATGAAGACATCTGAAACTCAAAGTCAGAGGAATTTACTTGTATGCTCGAAGAAGAGCCATGAACTTGGAGATTGTTTCCGATAATTCTGTTCTTTGGATGGGTCATGGATGTCCTCCATTTTCATTTTCAGGTGGGAATTAGTCAATTAGACTGATAGACAACAAACTCGTTTTCATTAATACACGTGCAGTGGATGTATATCCACCGCTCCCATCAGCACCACTGACAAACCAAGTATATAATTAATTTATTAAATTAAAATATCCACTACACTCTCTGATAATAATATCTCTATTCTCTACCACATGACATGAGTGATGAATCGTTACTCGTTAGTGTGCCCACAAATTGGTTGAGTGGTAGAAGTCACACTCAAGACTCAACAAAGTGATAATTCACAATGAAATGTTCTTCTCTAGACTCTCTCAACTGAAGCTATGGCCACCCACCCTATGGACTATGGTTAAGAACTTATACCCAATGACTTTGGGTTGGGATTGGATTAGTTTCAGGTTGATTCAATTTTTTCATTTTTTATTTATTAAATGTTCTTATTTCTTGGAATTAAACAATAGGGAATGTTGTACGGTTAAGGTTGACTCTAGCTAGGGGTGCAATTTGGATGGACCTAAATTTTATACGAATTGCGCTTAGATTTTTGACTTTCGAGCTGGGCTCGAGCCCAACAAGAAGTCAGACTTTTTATTTTTCAGGTCAGGCCCTGGTCTTGCCCTTAGGTAGTTCAAATTCCGCCCAAACTTGATCCAACTATACATATTGACCAATCCGAGCCTGAGCCCAGCCTACCCTTAACTCTAGCATAAGCTTTACATCACTTTAATTTATTTTTTTCCTCTTAAACTTAAAATTGCTGATACATACATAAATCCGAATACCCTGAATGGCATTCTGTTTTGGCTCCGGACTGTGAGTTAGCTGTTTCAGATGCCCACCCCTCATCCTGGTTAGGACAGCCTCACGTGGATGGCTGTGTTTTCTTTCTTTTTCTATCTTTGTTTCTGTTTTCTGTTTCCTTGCTGTTAGCTAATCAGCTTTTTTACTTGAAAAATATCCAGGTTCAGTCTTCACGAAATTTGTACTTACAAACTTGCAGCGCTGCATTGGGAATATAGATATTTTAAACGCACGGCTTTAAATTTTGTGGGAACAATGTGAGTACAAGTTACTGAATTTCCTAACCCCGTATTTCTTTAAAAAAACCATATTCACCTTTTCCAAACATCCATTTGGATATCAGCTTTTCTTATGAAAAGCTTATTGGGGTGGTTTATTAATCAAAGACAACCTTTATTTTTTGACTTATGAAGTTATGAAGAATTGAAGATAATTGTACAATTAACGCAACTCAGGCGGTATTCGGAATCGCTTAAATCTCGTGGGTCTAGTCTACGGGATTTGGTCACGTTCAGTTGGGTGTGGATGGGATCGGTGCTGTTCACACCCCAATATAGCGTGGACTGGTCTTGTTTACACCCCAATTTCTCATCCAGGGTAAAATCTCGTGGTTGAGGACCGTTCACACTTGATTTTTGATCCCCTACTTCATACTTTTCCTGAAAGGCTACCCTATTGTCTATTTCACATTTTAATTTTTTTGTTAATAAAATATTAATTATTTTACTTAATTTTTTACTTTTTTTAAATTTAAGGTTTTATCAATAAAATTATATTTTAAATATTTTAAATTTTAATTATTTTATTATTATTTTTTATAAAAAATTAATATTTATTGCTTAATATTAATGCATTGATGCATTTTCAATATATTTATCATATAAAATGCAAAAATTAGATATTTATGATTAACTATGTAGATCAAGGTTTTCAAACCGTCGTTGACCGTTCAGCCCGGGAACTATCCACGCAAGTGGTTCCATTTTACTCCAAACCTGTTTTTTGGCTAAAAACCATTGAAAAACTCAACAACCCGTTGACCCAAGCGGTCAAACCATCAACCCGTTCAATGGTTTTTTATCGTTTTTTATTTTTAATTATTTTTTTATTTTGTTTTTCAGAACAGGCCATCCGTTCGAATCGGTCAAACCATCGACCTGGAAACTGGTGGCCAGAACAGTTCCGTTTCCGAGTCGTTTTTTAAAATGTTGGTGTAGATCATTCATAAAATGTACATGAGATACATTGAATCAAAAAGGTGTGGTACATTACAGAATGCCACTGTGGGTGTGGACTGTACCAGTCCAGTTTGTCCACAGTTCAGTACAGTTGTGGGCTGTGTTGTGGTGTGGTGTGGTACATTACAGGATGCCCTATGGCAGGTGTAAACCAGTCTACACCCACCAATTTCTCATCCACACTACAGAACACCCCCTCAATAGCTGAAAGTATTCGCCTTTCACATGGGCTATATGGTTGGAGCTACAACTTGAATTAATCACAGCAAGTGTGAAAGGTTCTATGATGTGGCAACAACAAACACTTTCAGCAATTTCATGGCCTAAGACACAGGAACTAATGAGTAATGGCTAAAGCTGCCATAGCCATCCGATTGAATTGGGAGGCTCGAAACAAAGAAGCTCCATAAGAATAAAAACTCAAATCCTCTAGGTGTTGCATTAGTACAAAATTACCTAGTTCATGGTGAAAATCACCAACCTGAAAACCAGAGGGTTAAACAAATAATAAATCATCAACTCTTGACTATACTTTATCAACGTTAATGAGGGCAGATTTGGCCCTCCAATGACATCCACAAAACTGTCAAATGACAACTTAAACCAGGTAAGCAGACTTTGGTAGCACGACAAACACCTCACCCTTGTTTCGGACTCCTTGGCATCACCTCGACAGGACAACCTATAGTTAGACCAAACAACATCAAGTCGGCATAAGAGGCAGCCTATCTCCACCGACCTAGTAGTTTCTAAATTAGTGACCTACGTGACGCGACAAGCGAGTTATTCTTCGAGTGAGCTATTGTCTCTAACTTTCTCAAAATCACGATGCCATGTCAAAAGAGTTGGTTATCACCTTACCCGCTTTGGGTGCGATTGGATAGGCATTACCCGCTTACACGGAGTCCATCTCCAGGTATGAATCCACCTCTGAACCAGATGGACCGGAGATCTTAGGCGTGTTTCGTGGAGCTCACGGCTGAGGACTTATATAAAGGCATCCCCTTTCACAGAAAAGGTACACACGATTTATCTCTCAAGCATACTACCTCTCTTGCTTTCTAGTTCTCTAAATACACCTTGCTAACTTAAAAATCGAAGTACCCACCCCGGATACAACAACTCGGACATTCCGACATCTCTCCTT